GAGAGAGAGGGGAAGGAGTGAAAAATTAGGGTTAAGAGTTTTTATATCACCTGATTTTTTAATAATAAAACTTGGTCCCTGAATTTTGAATTACAATCTTTAAACACCTGAATTATTATAATTTCCCTAAAATTGATTTAGAGACATAAAACCAAGCAAACTTTAAGTAATGAATACAAAGCCCTTTAAATGCTACACTTACCTCCAATTGAATTCAAATTTATAGAATCAATCAGCCAACTCAATAGTAACCTATCAAACAATTTATAATTTATATCTTCCTAAAAAGTACATATAATATTATTAGTATATAATATTCTAAAAGTTTTTACGTAAGACATATCCATGTAACATGTCCAAATTTTGGATAATTTTTCACCGTATCCCCTTTTCTTGAGTTTTAGAAGAAAAAGGATCCGAGTTCTAGATATGTTTCCGTAGCCATGTCCGAGCAAACTAGATCACTATAGAGGATTGTGATGTCCTTGAATGAAATTATTTTACGTACTTGTACTAGACTATGAACAAGGAAGGCTTGAAAAGGATGTCAAGTATCGGATTAGATCGCATAAAATGAGTGTTACTGCTAAAAGGAGGATTACCTTTGGATTAGATATACAAAGAAGACCTAGGGCCAATGGAACCGCGGTTCTAATGTTGTGATTGCCATACTGCAAAAGATGCTCTAGCGAACGAATAGCCATCTCAAGGCCCAGTTCCTCAGCCATTGCTACCATAGCAATACCAAGTACAGCGGGCCCCTGGTACTTTTCACCGTTTTTAAGATGTTCACACGCATGAAGGAATTTTTGCACCTGAGACAATAGACTATTAGCAACTTATATAAGATAACAGCATACCCTCTGAATGCAACTTCAAAAATTTATAACCTTGAGAGCATCCCCGGTTCCAGCATAGGCACAGGAGATCAGGGTCATGTAACAATATTTTCCAATTTTTTCATTAAATGTCTCTAAAAGCGTAGTAGCTCTAGTATTCACGTTGTCCTGTCAGATGAAAAATAAGTGCCAATGTATTATGGTAAGAGTACTTAATCTGCATATTGCAATATTTTCAGTTTCAAACCGAAAACAAGTAATATACATTGCATGCCTAATGATGGTGACTAACATCATGCAAATAATAGGTTCTAAATAATGAACAGAGTAATACAGGGATTTGACACAGAATATGATTATTGGATTGTTAACGACCAAAGAAGGTAGTAATTATGGTAACCTGCTTCCCAAGATACAGAAGACCAAGACCCAGAGGCAAGAGACGAAAGAGGGGCTCCCCCAGTTCTGATGCATTTCGTGTCTTTAATGTTAAAGTAATTGTTTCGGCAAAATATTCACTGCAGGAACCCACATGGACCAGGCCAAGAGAGACTGCGGAGAAGGCAATGACATCTAAAGATTCCTTAGAATCTTCAAGTATAGAATTTAATATACTGCTGATCTGAAAAAGAAAATGTCACATGTAAGCAAAAGTAGAACATCACAAGACAAGAAAATAGAAAGTTATGACCAAAAAGCTATGGGCTACTCAACAACGTTTCACAACTTTGACAAATAAAGTTATTATCATCTAGGGCAATCAACACTTCCAATAGTTGGACTAAGCATGGAACTCACTTGCTCATCTTGAGATCCTGCATACGCAATGCCTAAGCCCATTATTGCACCTATTCTAATAGAAGACTCCTTATCGTGTACATAATCAGATAAAATATAGCAATTCTTGTTGACTCTGCAATTCAGAATCCCAACTCCTAGCAATGCACCCGCAATGATGTGAGTGTTGGTACTACGTATGTACTTGTCAATTTGAGCGAGTCCATAATCAACATCCCAAAGCAAAATCATACCCTATGGTGACAAAAACATAACTATCAAACCATTAAAATCACATGTGGAAACGATATAATGAACAAAAAAGATACACACCAGACTTGCTGTAGCACTAGCCTGTCCATGTTCTTTGTTTTCTAAAACCCAGCTTGTAGCAGAACCACCACTTGATGCTTCCACTGGACCTATCATCAGCTTATCCTGCACACATAAGAGTATAGACTGGCCAACCCTTTTTATCTCTTCCAAGAAAAACCTTAACCATTTTGATAGAGATTATTCTTACCTGACCAAAGCCAGCATTTACAAATGCATTGACAAATGTTGCTGCCAATTTCTCTCTGCCAGAATCAACAAATTTCCTGTCTCTAGCTCGCCCATCAAGTAAATGGTACTAAGAGATCCAACAAAAGATATTAGAAACGTAAAACTTCTCCTTTTTTTGATAAAGGTGCGATGGAAAGAAAATTAAAACTGCAAAGTTGTCAGTTCCAAACCCAAAAAGGTTGTATATAAAAGGAAGTGAGAATGATGCATTTTAAATACAGAAGCCAAGGACACCACAACTCTGAGAGTAACTAAAAAGAAATTTATTGGAAAAGAAAGGGATAGATGCAAAAGGCCATAACTTAAAAGTAAAAAAGTTAGCACAAAATGAGCAGTGGACAAGAGGGATCTAGACCTTGTAAATATCTTCAGGAGATTTGGGCTCCATGACCTCTATATCACGAGCAAGTGTAAGAAAACCTTCACTCAATTTAGCATTGTTAATAATTTGTTGCAGACTCTCCATTTCTTCGTCTTCTTCACATATTTCATCATCAATTTCAAAAGTAACACCCTGTAGTACAAAATTGCATTTATCACAATTTTAATTTCGTAGATAACACAAATTAAAACCTAGCCACAAAAAATGTGTGAATTTATTCTTCCAGCATTGCAACCAGTGGCTCAATCAAAATCCATGATGCTAGAATGAAGCACTAGAACAAGCCCATACCACAATCTGTCTTATAAAAGTCATTATGTCCGACGATAATTGTAATTTAAAACCACAATGGTAAAAACAAGGGACTTTAACACTCCAAACTTGTAAAATAATTTGAACCAATAGTTAAAAGCAACAATTATGACCTTGTTCACAAACTGTGTGTACTCCAATTATGATGCAATGAGAAACAATACTAGTACCCAGACTACCTTATTTCAGTTTTTCTAATGATGGGCTTTGGATGGGATTTGATCCCAAATTTAATGAAAAACAAAAATCTTTAGCATAGACCAGGTGGAGATTTGAGATCTCACATGAGCTGTTATAATAAGCCCTCATATGCCACCATCAAGTGACCAATCAACATGTGATCTCTAATTCGGAGGGTGACCTCCAGTTGATGACACAATATCTAGCTTATTAATAAAAAAATGGAAGTATATCTGACAGAAAAACCAGATTTCTACAGATCTTACATGGCGAGCAAGGATGTAGCAGAACTGTTGCTTCTTCAGAAGATCATTACAAGATGTAAAAACCTCCTTAACATACTGCAAATCAATACACCTATCAGGTCCACATCCTAACCAAGGGGTAAAATTTAGACAGGTGTGTTATACTTGAAATCAAGGGTATAATCCCACCTCAATAAAACATAAAACACAATAACCAACATATAAGGACTTGGGTTACTCCTCTTAATAACATTAGCATTTTAAAATGGAACCCCAAACTTAATATGGTATCAGGCGCCAACGTGCTCATATGAGCACTTAGGTCCCTTTTAAGTCGGAACCCAAGTCTTAATACTTGGCATTAACAATTTTTGTTATCTAACTTGAGATCATGGAAGCATGCATTTCATAACCAACAAACCTGCATCTCGTTAAGGTGCAAAGCAATCTGCAGTGCTCTGTGAAAATCTTCAAAATTCATATAAATTCTGTATGCAAAATCCAGAATGAGACTGCTCTCTTGATGATATCTGAAAAGATTGACCGATGAAAATTGGAGAATGCCACCATTCATTTGTATACTTAAATTTAAAGACAAGGGAAGATGAAAATGATATCATCAAGACTGAGAAATAACTATTGAATGTGAAGGATAAACAATCATACCTCAACATCTTTTTTTTTTGCCTGGAAAAGTTAACAGATGGTATATTTTTCTGAACATTTCCATTTTTGTACCTAATGTACATTATAGTGAAATTTGGGCCCCTATATTTCCTTCTAGGGAATAGTAACATGTGGAACTCGTATTTGGATTCAAACTGTAAGTCTAACATTGTTGGAGTATGGGTTGCTAAGGAAAAAATTCAAATGATTAACATGGATCTAGAAAAAAAATGACAACTCAGTTTGAGATAATGGGAGCAATATTTGAGACAACCATGGAGAAGCATCTGAAAAAATCAGCCCCCAAAACTAAGAAATTATAGTTTCTTTTTCGAAAAAATAAAAAGATTATCGAAGTTATGATGTTAGAAAAATTTCTTTATTTTCCAAAAATAACACATTAGCACAAAACAAGTCAAATTTCAAGATGCTATATATGCAGTCCTCCTTATGGATCGTGATTAATTGATATATTCAATAAATGGGTAAATGTGTGATAAAAGATGTCCTCCAGTTTTATCTAATCGTTAGAAGTACATCAAGTTTGGATATAATGAAGATTCAGCAGATCTATTGATAATCTGTCCTCAGTTTTTGATATTGCACATAAGATGGTTAACCCAGTGGTTAGTCAGCACAATCTCTTCTTATTCACCCTTCTTGTAGGATGATCTCTTTGTCTTATGTGAAAAATATTATAAATTGTATATAATAAACTTGTTTTTATTACAAAGTAAAAGACTCTATTTATAGGGCTATAAATAACTCTAAAAAGAAATATTGTATAATAATTATACAATCAACTATTAAATCAACTATTAAAGAAAATAATCATACACTATTAGAAAAATATCATAGAGATTATTATTTCCATATCTCCAACACCCTCCCTCAAACTCAATATGGTGTAGCAGCAATCAAATTGAGTTTGAAAGATAAATCAATCCAATCAAATTTTCAAAATTGCTTGTATGTCAACCAAAC